GCTTTCCATTGCTGCTCTATCTGCCTTCTTTAGTCTATCTGTTTGTTTTTTTATCCACTGCAAGCATCCTTTTTGTTTGGTTTTTTTTAGGGTCGTTTCTGTTAAGATCTATCAAAGTAGTTTTGTTCGTTGGTTGACAAAGAAAGCTTTTAAGAAAAACAAAACAAAAAAAAAGTTTTACTTTTTCTGGTATGGAAAACAAAAGGCAAGTGAGTGGTTCTTCTTCTTCTTCTTCATCATCATCATCTGTTTCTTTGGATCATCTCTTTGGTCCCAAGGACTCTTCTTCTTCTTCTTCATCCACAAGTGGGATTTTTGACACCATTTTCCCTCCTCCATCAACGGTAAAAAAAAAAAAAAAAACCTGGTTTTTAGACATTTTTCTCATCAATTTGTATTCATAAATGATACAACCTTGTTCAATTTGTCAATTTGTAAGAACATATACATATCAGAATCACACAATGAATAAATGATGCAGCAATGGTGAGTAGAAAAACATTGAGCAAATAAGCCGTATATGGAAAAGATAATTAAATTCAATGTATATGAAAAGCCAACCTGAAGAGTCCTTGTTGCAAATTCAACACCAAATGGTTGACGTTGGACTCCAACAACAACTCATTTCTTTGTAAAATCTTGAAAGAATGTTAGATTTTCCAACACCTGAATATCCTATCATACAATCTTGATAGGATAATCATATTCATGATCCACTCTATATGTCATTTACACTTGTCTTTTATGGTTTTCAAAACCTGCTACATCCAAAAAATAATAATAATAATTAATTTTTATTATATCAAACGATTCAAATTTAAAATTTAAAATTTAATTTAATCGATTGATATAATCAGATGATATCTAATAAGTTTAAGATTCGAACATCAATACTTACAATCCCATTCCCTCAACCTCTTTTGTACAAAAAAAAAAAAATCCAAATTTGGCTTAACCACCATTATCCGGTATCCTGAATTTCTTCATGTAAGAAATCCGAAAACCAAATCCTAAGAACCTATTTATTTCCAATGAAAATGAAGAGAAAAAGAAATGCTTCAGTTTCTTTCTTTTTTTCCTGTTCTTGAGAAACAAATAAGGTGTGAAAGAAGAGAAGAAACTAACCATAAAATGATGAATGATTAATATTAATTATTGATAGCAAAGGGTGATTAGTGAAATTCTAGAACTTGGTGTTTGTTTTGCTGAAAGTTCTTGCTCGGAGAGAGAGAAAGGCTCCTCAGGAGAAGGAGAGGAGACATTGCTTTCCATAGCCAAAGAAAGCAAACAGATTAGCGGATTAAAAGGCACTTAAAACGGTCTTTCAATGGGATCTAACCGGCTAAATTCGGCCACTCTAATAAAAAGTGATCATGATAATTGCAAATGATTGAATTACACCTTCATGGCCCTTTGGCCTGTCAAAATTTTCATTATTAATTTGTCCTGGATATTATTGTCTAATGTCAAACAGTTGTTAGAACAAAGTAAAACTAGATCAAACCGGTTTCTTGCAAGCATGCATGAACCAACATTTAATACAAACCAAAAAAATCAGAGTCTATGACTGCTTTGTCATGTCATTTTTTGTTTTACGAAAGCTGCTATATTCATGCTACGACCAATAACATTGTAGATAGATTTGTTTAAGCATCAAATTATTCGTCTAAATCTAAAATTTATTTAATTTTAAAAAAATTAAAATAAAATTAAAATTTATTGATAAATTTAAAGATAATTTTTAATCTGTTTAAATTTAAATTAAATTTTGAACAAAAATTTTAAAATCTGATTTCAAATTCACGTATATATAAATTATTATTTATATATATAATTATATATAAATAAATTTATACATATAAATTAAAAATAAAAATTATATATATTATATTTATATTTTATATAATTTTATATATATGTGATTAAATATAATTTTATTAAATTAAATTTAATTATTTTTTAATTTTTATTATATAAATTAAATTTAATATATAAATTTAAAATTATTTTTTAATTTAAATAAAATTTTAAAATTTATTTTTAAATCAATTTAAATAAATATATAAATTATTAATACCAATTATATAATAAAGCGAGAAAAACACTCCGCAATAAACCTCCTCCAATGAAAGTTTTGCATAAATGAAAGATAGATACATCATAAAACAATAGAATAAAAATTTTCTTAAAACATTAAAATTGATTTGACAAGACGATGAATAACTATCACACCTTATAATAGCAATTATGACATGATGGGAGTCCAAAATGATCGATTTAAATTAAAATTTTAAAAATTTTATAATATTATTAATTATTAAAAATATCAAATTCAATTTAATTCAATTCGAATTCACGATTAAAAAAATTCTTTGCTAAAAAGTCTTTAAGTGAAGGTCAAGTGCTTACATCACCCACGTGAACCGAAACTGACGATTCCAAGTTCCTATTTAATGTCTAAAAAATCAAAATCTAAATCAATGGTGGTTAGGCTTTGGATATTCATAACCACAAAAAAAAAAAAAAAAATTATAAGTGGAATAACGCGTTCATGAGCAATGTACCAAAACATGCCTCATTAATTTGTTGAATGTATAAATGTGCATAGCTCATACTGATACTTGGACAAACACATTTTCCACATAGAACTTGGAAATGTTTTTTATTTTATCATTATTTCAATGAAGGGCAGACGATATCTTCTTCAGTGCCTTCTCCTCCATGGCCTTCTCTTGGCTTTGCTTACTAGCAGAAGCAGCATCCGATCATTCTCCATCCAATACCAATAAAAAGGCAATATTATGTAAATGAATCAATTGATTGTTCTATATTTATATATATGCATATTTTTTAAGTCATTTTTTATCATTCTTTCCTGGTTTGATGATCACGGAATATGTTTTAAGTTGTTTAACCTTATCTGGACAATTTGTTCATGGCTGATGCATTTCATTTTTGTACTTTTGAACTTCAGAGCTATATTGTCTACATGGGCGACCGCCCTAACGATGGAAGTTCTTATCCTTGCTTCATAGCAGAATGCTACAAGATGCCTTTGGCAGGTATAGCAAATACCAATTGCTCACATTTGCATTGAAAATAATTTGCACCATTTGTGGGACTAAAAAGAATAAAATGCAGATCAATGTATTAGGCTGGTTGATTGCTATCAGTGATCAAGTAGTAAGAATTTACTTGGAGTTCATAGGCAATTTCGCACAACAATTGAAAAGAAAACTAGTAAATTTGGAGGCAGTTTGCTTTGATACACATAATTGTCTACTCCTATTAATATAAAGTTGAACAAGAAATCTAATAAGAAATAATACCAAGGCAAAGCTCTGTTATATTATTCTTGGTTCAAGTCCTGATACTCTCTTGTATTTCATTTTCTGAAGGAGAAAAAGTTGAAGATAACGGCTACTTTCCAAATTCTAATTAGAGATGTTCATAAGTTGAGTCAAATCAGATTTGAGTCAGGCTCATGTTTAGTATTAATAACTTATATGTTTATCTAAACTCCACTCGATCTGGTCTGATTTAATATTTCAAGTTTCAAAATTTTTCTTATTAAAGCCCTCTTAAAATTTGAGCGAGCTTTTGAGTTTGGACGAGTAGTCCAGCTATTGAATCAGTCTAATGTAGCAATTTCAAATTTATTAGAAAGAAAGCATGAACAATAATATATTGCAAGTAAGACCAGACAGTATGAAACAAAGAATTGTTCAAGTATATTGAGGTTGACTATGCAAATGGAAATGATGCAGTCAATTTTTTACAAAGTCAGTGATCTATAGCTACAAAAAGAGTTTTAAATGGTTTCGTGGTGGAGCTAACCGAGGAAGAAGCACAAAAAATGGCTGGTAAGTGAGCATGATTTCGCCATGATCATCTCTTTTCTTGAAACGGATTAATCCATCTTTGGACATTTTAGGAATGGAAGGCATAGTATCTGTGTTTCCAAATGAAAAAAGAAATCTTCATACAACAAAGTCATGGGACTTTATTGGCTTCTCCCAACAAGTTGAAAGAGCAGCTTTGGAAAGTGATATTATCATTGGAGTTTTTGACACCGGAATTTGGCCTGAATCTGAAAGTTTTAATGACAAAGGACTTGGTCCACCTCCCAGCAAATGGAAAGGCAGGTGCCAAGTAGCAGCAGGCAATTTCACTTGCAACAAGTACTATGCATTACAAAAATTTGTTTGCTGTCTTGGAGAATCAATCAATTAGTGCTTGAATTGTCTAACATTGCTGTATATTCAAATGCAGTAAGATCATAGGTGGACAATATTACCGCAGCTCTGGGTTTTTTGTCCCAAATGACATTAATTCTCCAAGAGATTCTGATGGTCATGGTACTCATACTGCATCAACGGCAGCTGGGAAGTTAGTTAATGGGGCAAACCTGTATGGCTTTGGTTCAGGAACAGCCCGAGGAGGGGTTCCATCTGCGCGTATTGCTGTGTACAAAATTTGTTGGTCAGATGGTTGTTTTGATGCTGACATTCTTGCAGCATTTGATGATGCAATTTCCGATGGGGTTGACATTATATCTATTTCAGTTGGAATATCATCAGGACAACCCTATTTCAAAGATTCTATTGCAATCGGAGCCTTTCATGCCATGAAAAATGGTGTATTGACTGTAACCTCTGCAGGTAATGATGGCCCCGACCGTTCAACCATCTCAAATTATTCACCATGGTCCCTTTCTGTGGCTGCTAGCACCATAGACCGCAAATTTTTCACCAAGGTGCAGCTTGGAAACAATAATATTTATGAGGTAATACCATTAATATCAGTTCAAGATGATAGGAAGTGAAACAAGAAGTATAACTATTAAGTAACCGATTAAGCTATAAACAACCACAATTGAATTTCCATTTAATGAAAAGTAGTTAGATATTGCAACTATAATTCCTTTGGTTTCAATACTTATTTGCTTATCTGGCATGTGTCCAGGGAATATCAATAAATACATTTGATCTCAAGAACGAAATGTACCCTATCATTTATGGCGGTGATGCACCCAACACTACTGCAAATTATACGGGGCGTTCGTCCAGGTTCGATCCAAACTGAGCCATTTTCTTAAAAAAAATCAATAATAAATTAGGCTTTAGAAGCTTCAAATTAATATGGGCATCATCACTAAATAAAAATACTACTAATATCCAAACTCAAATGAAAGGTGAGAAAAACAGATTTGGTTAGAAATTTCCTTTCCTAACTGGAAATAAAAGTATGAGAAACATCTAACTTATGAGTCTGATTACGGGTTGGTTCTTGAAGTACAGGTATTGCTTTACGAATTCACTAGACCAGAATTTGGTGAAGGGCAAAATTGTTCTTTGTGATGCAGCACTCAATGGGAGAGGACCTCTTTTTGCTGGTGCAGTTGGTGCAGTGATGCGAGACCAGGGTCCATATGATTCTGCTGACTTCTATCTTTTGCCTGCATCTATCGTTGATCTAGTCGATGGTGAAAAGATTTTTCAATATGTAAACTTGACAAGGTAGCAACAAAGTTTTAACACCCCTTTCTATTGTAACTGAAGACATCTAACACTTGAGTATGTATTTTTAAAACAAATTACAGTACCCCAACTGCAACTATATATAAGAGTAATGAGGCTAATGACTCACTTGCTCCTTATATAGTCTCTTTCTCATCAAGAGGTCCGAATCCAATCACACCTGACATACTCAAGGTAACTTGATGAAAAATTAATCTTTCTGTACGTATACCATTCTATATACGACTGATTATTACATTATATTGTTGTTAATAATTGCAGCCAGATTTGTCTGCACCAGGGGTTCACATTCTAGCTGCATGGTCTTTAGTTTCCCCTGTTTCTCAATTTACAGGCGATAATAGATTCGTGCCATTCAACATAATCTCAGGAACATCAATGTCTTGCCCACATGTTGCTGCAGCAGCTGCCTATGTTAAATCATTTCATCCCACATGGTCCCCTGGTGCTATTAAATCTGCCCTCATGACCACAGGTAATGGCCATGACTTGTTACATTAATTCCCTGAACTACAATTTTTTTTTTTTGTGACTGTAGTTAATTTTTCTGATCGCAATGTTCTTTGCAGCCTACCCTATGAGTTCCAGCATTAACTTGGACGCTGAATTTGCGTATGGCTCAGGCAATTTGAATCCTACCAAGGCTGTCAATCCTGGTCTACTATATGATTCTGAGGAAGTTGACTACATAAAATTTTTATGTGGACAAGGATATGGCACTCGATTTCTACGATTAGTAACCGGCGATAATTCTACTTGTTCTGAAGCTACCAATGGAACAGTTTGGGATCTAAACTACCCTTCTTTTGCTCTTTTTAGCTCACCCTTGAAACCTATTCACCATGCCTTCAACAGGACAGTCACAAATGTGGGATCACCAATGTCTATATATAGAGCAAAAGTGACTGTCCCAACAGGAGCACTTAAGATACAAGTTAATCCAAATGTTTTGTCATTCACATCTCTGGGGCAGAAGCTATCATTTGTATTAACAATTGAAGGAAAAACTGATAAATCTATAGTTTCTGCTTCTTTGGAATGGGATGATGGTGTGCACATGGTGAGGAGTCCCGTCGTCGTATTTATTTCAATATCATAATATCTTACAAATAGCTGTACTCTAATGACTCTGGGGACTCAAGTAAATAAGGAACTATGTAATTCTTGGGGGTTGAGTAAATCCCTGCTTATATAGTGGACAATCGTTTCCTTGTTGGCTTGTTGCTGCTTTCTGCAGCCTTGTTTGTTTTGTATCAGCTTTACTGCTTTCTATGGATACTAAAACTCTATAATTACTTCTCTTCTCTATAAAATCCATATACATAAAAAATTATTGTAGAAGAGACTGTTAAAATACTTGTGTTTATTGAACATTAAAACACTATTTTCAACCAACAATTTGCCAGAGCGGCTTTGGAAAAGAAATGTTATGATTGGAATTTTAGACTCCAAAATTTGGCCCAAATCTGAAAGTTTTAATAGCAAAGGAATTTGCCAAGCAGCACCCCACACGTTCACTTGCAACAAAGAATGCATCCTAAAAACATAAAAATTTGTTTAGTCTTGGACTTGGACTTGGAGAATTCAGTCAAATTACTGCTGGAATTGCCTAATATACATACCAAGTAGCTAAAATTAACAAGCTCTAAACCTAAAGTCTTAATAAGCCAGCCAAACCATACAATTTCATACCTAATAACCTAAATTGCTTAAAATGAAATGCCAATAGGGCAAAACTTCCATTGCCCAAAGTTCAAACCATATATATCAAGAAAATTAAAAAAAAAAAATTCAAACCCTACCGTTTTGGCTACAGTGCTACAAATCTCTATATATATCTGGTAAGCCAAAGTCCTCATCCAAAAGGAATTTATCATCAGCTGTGAACTCAAAATTATTGGCGAAATCTGAAAATTGCTGCTGCTGCTGCTGCTGCTGTATGTTAAAATTATCTTGGCCCATGGAATGGAACTGATCAGAAGGAATTGGTGACATATCTACGGCTGTTGGTATAAAATTACCATATTCAGACACAGCAGCCTGCTGAGAAAATATGGTTGAGTCAGGTTCCAGCATAGTATCAAAAGATTCAGGCAACTTTGGGAGTCCTCCAGATGAAGAATTATGATATATATTGTGGTAAAAAGGCATTGGATAAGTTTGTTGTGGCAGCATATTGAAGTCTTCAACTTGAAACTGTTGATCAGATAGAGGTAAAATCCCATATTCTTGCTTCTTGGTTTCAGTGTAAGCTGGAATTGCAACTTCAGCTCCCTCCTGTTTTTTATCAGTACCCTGCTGAGGGGTTTGAGGTTTTGGCTTTGCATCCTTCTGCTTCTTATACACTCTGCACAGTACCCAATCATCAAGCTGGAACAAAAAAAAAACATTAATTAAGTGATAAGCAATAATAAATAAAGATACAATTAACAAAGCTAGACTATGTCTATCACATATATGCTAGATACAAGTATAATTCAGAACTAAAGCAACATAAAAAGAAGAAGAAAAGGTTACCCTCATGTCATCATTACTAGCTCTTTCTCTTGGTGGAGGATTACTTAATACATATTCATGCATAATCCAATTCGTCTTAACACCGTGAGGTTGCTTCCCCCTGCAGAAGACTAAAGTCTTCTTGAATCCAACTAAATTTCCTTTACACTTGACAAGCTTATCAGCTCCAGTTGCCTTCCAGAATCCATCGCCAGCTCCTCTCTCTGGTCTTGTGCCATTGCGGTATTTGCGGTCTCTTGGAGTGAAGAAATACCACTCATTCACAACTCCATTTGATGACTTATTATTACTGATCTCTATTCTCAAAGACAAAGAAAAAAGACCCTTCATTATAAAAACTGCTATAGAATTGGAAACTATACATATATATACTATATCCTGCTTAGATTTTCTTCAATTTCCATCAGGATTGTATCGAATATTTCATGTGATAAAACGAGTGAGACATGAAATATTAACATATCAATAGTTGCATGAAATTATCTCAACTTATCAGAATAAACAGCTCTCTACTAAAAAAAAATCATGCAACAATCATCTAGAAAAGATAGTTTCTCTCTCGATTTTTTTTTTCTTCAACACCTGCAATCTTCTGATTTCAAGAAAACCCTAAAGAAAACGAGGGTATGAAATAGAAACCTGTAAGGGTATCAGGATCATAGTTATAGAGTTGAACCTCCCTGATTCTATTCTGTGGCAACGGTTGATTGTAAACTTTCCTCCTCAAATAAAAATCAACAAGCTCAGAATCAAGCGGCTTGAATCGATAACCCGACGGAAGCGACTTCAGGAATGCTTCTTCTTCTTCTTCCTTGGACTTGGAGATCATCCGATGCACCCTAGGCTTTGCTAATACAGAGCCACCATTAATACCTTCTTTCATCACACTAATCTCTCGGATAAAAGGTAAAAAGAAAATTCAGAAGAACATAAATTAATAGATTTTGTTTACCAGTATAATAACAAATAATATTATACTTTTTTACGAAAAAGTAGAATAAGCATGACATGAGAGAGGAATTCAACACATAAAAACGAAAAATACACGACTCAAAATTTTATAAAAAGTTATTAAAAAATATTTATTGTTTTACGTGTAAATATTATAATTTTTATATTTTACATATATTATATATTAAATAAACAAACATGAATACATAAGTTCAAAAAAAATTTAAAATACATAAATTATCAAATTTATAAAAACAAATAACTGAAAACTTTTTGCTATTTTAATTAATTTTTTGGGCAATGTATAACTATAATTAGTTTATACAATTCTTGTTAACTTCAACCAGTTAGTTAACTTATCTAAATATATCATCTTTCAAAAAAAAAAAAAATCAAATACATCCAATTTGTACAACAACATAAGAATTCTAATAGATTTTAAATTCTTATAAATATTACTACAGCTAATATTATTTTATTATTATATAATATTAAAAAATATTACAATATTTCTTATTTCATATTTGGATAAATAAAATGTTATTGATTATAATTTTCAGTTATAATTAATAATGAAATTTGATTATATTGCTTATGGTATTTGCAATTAGAGCTCTCGTTTTACATGGTTCATCCTAACCTGCAGTTTTACTTTGTCTCATGCTTGTTAGCTGCCATGGGACATCGAATGATTGAAAGGCTTAACTAATTTCTTCTGATTTTACTTCTTTTTTTTTCCTTGTTTCTCCCGATGGAAAGAAAAAACACATACTACAAACTCGTACACCCAAAGTAGAGATGTATGTCTAGAAATTTCAATCAAAAAGCCTTTGCATTTCAATTCTGATCTGCTCCTTACCATGAATTTTGATCCTGATCCCATATTAAATCAGCTTAAGGTCGTGGAGTTTGAAACTATAACAAACTTTTGAATGTTCAAATTATCTCCAGAAAAAGTGGTTCATGTAGCCGGTAGACCAGTTCAGGGTTAAACTATCCGCTTAAATTCGAAGGTTCAATCAAATTTTGAAAAAATTTAAACAAAAAATTAAAATTTATTAAATTAGTTTGGATATAATTTTTAGATTTGTTTAAATTTTAAGTTGAATATTAAACAATTAAGCCTTAAACAAAAGAATTAAAATCTTAACCCGGCCCAACCCAGCTCAAATAAACATATATAATTAAAATATTATAATTGTATAAATATATATTTTTTTATTTTTATATTTTATTTTTAAAAAAATTTAAAAATTTTTATTATATAAATTAAATTTAATGAGTAAATTTGATATTTATTTTTTTAATTTAAGTAAAATTAAAAAAAAATTGAAGCTCGAAATATCAGGCCTAATCGGAACAAGCATATGAACTCTTAATATTAAGTATGAACTCAGCCTGACCCAACTATGAACACCTTTGACAATCGTTGATTTGAACAATTAATTTAAACTTTGGTCAATAGATTTATGTAATCCCTTATCTATTTCAAAACTATGACTCCATCCCTTATTCGAAAACTGTAGGCTCTCCCTACCCAAAAAATTCTCTAAGAAACAGTGGCGTATGGTAGTTTATATTTGATATGTAGTAATCAAATATTGAAATGGTTAATTGGTCAAAAATGCAAATAAAATAAAATAAAACTCCACCATATTTACTATTTTTCACACATGAAGAGAGAAAATTAATCCCCAAGAGTTAAGAAACAGTGGAAATATGCACTTGAGAGAAAGTTTGATGCAAGAGCAAGAGTACATATCCAAATCCACCCATTCTCAATAATGCACTTACAGTACTTTGTTATAAGTTTCTTAATCCAAACAATATGTACTACATGTTTTGAACGGTTCGATTCAAATGCCAATTATATGCGACAAAAATGAACATTTGAATAATTTCTGTTGTAATCAGCACTTTTGGCAGAAATAACACTGTTTCATAAGTAGTAAAAGCCGGCCATGGCCACCTTTCTTCCATTTGCGAGCTTAACAATGATTAGTTTGTTTCAGAAATTAAAGCCATGGAGCTCATTCCTAGTACAATTAATCAATGCTTATGTATAGCCCCTTCCAATGGAGCTTATTCATACTACAAAACTTGCCAATGGTGGTCCAGACTTCTCCTTTGACATGGCTTATGCTCATCTGTTTCACTGTCAGCACGCTTGTTGGTTGCCATGGAGCCTCTGATGAGAGACAGGCAAACAGATTTTTCCATGAAACCTGAGTTTATTTGGTTGATTTAGGAATTAGAATTAGTTCTGATACGTCTAATTGTTTTGTTGAACAAGGTCTACATTGTTTACATGGATGACCTTCCAAAGGGTGAGGTCTCTGCTGCAAGCCTTCACACCAGCTTGCTTCAGGATATTGTTCCCAGGTTTGTCAATTGTCATTTATTTTCCTTGCATTTGAATGCAAGTTTTACTCAACTTTGATTCACCATTTCATATATAATTACTTCTATTTGTGAATTGCATTCAGAAGTGCTGCATCAGACATTTTGCTCTACAGCTACCATAGGAGCTTCAATGGATTTGCAGCCAAGTTGACCGAGGAGGAGGCAGAGAAACTGAGAGTTCTCTGACATTGAGATGCTTCTTTAATAGATTTAAATATTATTTTTTGGTGAAATTATGGAAAGAACTCCCTTTTTTTGTTATTTTTTTTTAATAATTGAGGCTTTTGGAATTTCAACTGGGATGCAGTGGGAGTAAATATTCAACATTTTATCAATAGATCACGCGGCTATCCAAAAAGGTGACTGGAAATATTTTTCTTCAGGAAAGGAAGGGATTGCCTCTGTGTTCCAAAAGAAGCAGCTCCACACATCAAGGTCATGGGAATTCATGGGCTTCTCCAAAAAAGTGAAAAGATCAGTTATTGAGAATGATATTGTTGTTGGAATGCTTGACACAGGGATATGGCCAGAATCTGAAAGTTCTAACGACACAGGATTTGGTCCACTTCCTGAAAAATGGAAGGACTCTTGCCAAAAGTCATCCAATTTCACTTGCAACAAGTAAAAATAATTGTACAAAGCTTTATCATAACACACATAAGCAGATAAAAATCATTTATCAAATGTTGATTGGCCTTTCATAATCCCTTTCAGGAAAATAATTGGAGCTAGATCCTAGATACTACCGGGCTGATGGAGAATTCGGTTCAGATGATTTCGAATCTCCAAGAGACTCAGATGGTAATGGGAGTCACACTGCATCAACAGCTGCAGGTGGCTTAGTTAGCCAGGCAAGTTTATATGGCCTTGCCGAAGGGATGGCTCGTGGAGGGGTTCCATCTGCCCGCATTGCAGTGTACAAGATATGTTGGTCTGATGGTTGCCATCATGCAGACATTCTTGCAGCATTTAATGATGCAATAGCCGATAGTGTTGACATTATCTCTCTTTCAGTTGGGGGTTCCTTTGCATCCGATTATTTTGAAAACTCCATTGCTATTGGAGCTTTCCATTCAATGAAGAATGGGATCCTGACGTCCAACTCTGCTGGTAACAATGGTCCTGATCCTGCATCAATTGTGAATCTTTCACCTTGGTCTCTATCTGTAGCTGCTAGTACCATAGATAGAAAGTTCGTGAGGAAGGTGAAACTCGGTAATGGTGAAATTTATGAAGTAATTAAGGGGATTCATTTCTGCTACTCCTATGCCAACTCTTGAATTAACCAGTTTTATATATGATTAATGTAGGGAACATCTATAAATACATTTGATCTCGATGGAAAAATGTACCCTTTCATCTATGGTGGAGATGCCCCGGACATTTCACAAGGTTTTGTTTCCCAGGATTCCATGTAGCATTGAGCATTGAGATTGCAAAATGCAGACCTTATGCTACATTAATGAATGTTATCTTGATGTCGAAAAATTCGTTATGGATTGCAGGTATTGCTTGCCAGGGTCATTGAACGAAACATTAGTGAAAGGAAATATTGTTTTTTGCGAAGATTACAGCAATGCTGAAGGTGCAATGGAGGGAGGAGCTGTTGGTGCTGTATTTCAATATGAAGGAAACAAAGATAATGAATTCAGTTACCCTCTACCTCTTTCCAACTTGAACATGGATGATGGAAGAACTGTTTTCAACTCTGTTAACTCAACAGAGTATATGCCAAGTTCTCTATATAATATTTATCCGTAAAGTTTAATCAGAGGCTGAATATTATTAATTTAGTTGCATTACTTTGATTAGAAACCAACTGCAACAATATACAAGAGCATCCAAGAATATAATCAGTTTGCCCCGTACTTTGCTCATTTTCATCTCGAGGGCCTAACCCTATTACAGCAGATTATCTCAAGGTAAATGAAATAGTTTTCTCCATTTCTGTTAAATTTCCTTCCTTTTAAGTTCTAATTTCTTGATTTGAGGCAGCCTGATCTTACAGCACCTGGGGTTGATATTTGGCTGCATGGTCTGGAAATACCACTGTGACAGCAACCGAAGGTGATGCAAGAGTAGTTCCATACAATATTGTTTCTGGCACATCCATGTCTTGTCCACATGCAACTGGGGCAGGTGCTTATGTTAAGTCATTTCATCCGACATGGTCTCCTGCTGCCATTAAGTCTGCTCTAATGACAACAGGTATTAGTTTTATGCAAGATCAAAATTGCATTTTGAAAACGGCCATATGTAGACATGAAATGTTTATCAAAGAGCTTTTGAATTCTCACATCTAAGTAGAATCCATCTAATTTTTTGCAGCTTTTCCAGTGAGTGCTGAGAACAACATTGAAGGTGAGTTTGCGTTCGGGGCAGGTCACATAAATCCTGCACTAGCAGCCCAACCCGGATTGATATATGATGCCGGGAAGATTGATTATGTTAAATTTTTGTGTGGACGAGGATATAGCCCTGCATATCTACAGCTCATAACTGGAAATAATAGCAGTTGTTCTGAAGAAA